GAAGCAGACGAAATAATGTATTCATGTCAGGCGAGGAACAAGAAAATTATACATATTGTGTGATTTTGGCCAAAAACTTATAAGGAACAAGAGTGTATGGCGCTGAAATTCTCAAAGCAATACCAAGATCCATGAACTAACCTTTATTCTCTTTCCAGTATTGACATTTATGATAAAATCACCCTTCTTTATAACACCTTCATACACTCTTCATTAACAAAAGAACATGAGTTAGCATGAAAAGAGCACAAAATACTTTAATGTTTAGTAAACACCCCATATATAAACAAGAGGAAGATCAAGCATTTACCTTAGATATGTCAGCTGACCAAAACGTCCCTCCTCTAATTTGAAAGCCAGCGCCACAAGAGGTCCATCTGGAGACCCAGTCAAGGTTACCTGAAACTCATTTCTTTAGAACCTTCTCTTCATTATTGCCCATAAAAAAAATTCCAAGTAGAGTACCCTCTCTTCATTATTGTTCTGGTCAAGAGCATAGTTATTGACTTCAGTTGGACAAGGGAGATAACTGAGAACACCATCTAGTAGAGGTTGTACTCCCTGCACACACAAAATTATGGAGCATAAGTAAAAATACTATCCAAACTTGCACAGAAATCATCTTTATATCCAAAAAAGCAATTACCTTGTTTTTGAATGCACTACCCATAAATACAGGAACAAACTTTTGTGCTATGGTAGCTCTGCGAATAGCTTCCTGCACAGATGTACACAGGTAAAAAAAAGTTTAACACTAACAAAACTGCAAGTAAAAGAACAATAATATCTAAAACGAAACAATTCGTGTAGGCTAGAACTGAAAAGATAAGACAATGGGTAAGGTAAGTCAAAGAGCAATTATATCTGTTTAAGTGAAATCAATTAACTAAAGACCATAAGTTGCCAACAATATCTATCTATTTTCCGGAACCATATTCCTCTGTTGCATGCAAATGAGGTTAATAACAAACACCATAGGAAAAAGAACAAAACCTCAAGCTCAGTAGCAGATACAGGTTCATCATTTAGAAATTTTTCAGCGAGTTCGTCATCAACTTCAGAGACCGTCTCTATCAATTCTCGCCTCTTATCCGCAACCAACTCTTCCATATCAGCAGGAATATCACCAGCCACAACATTCTCACTGCAATTTATCGACAATCAAAATGTCACAACATATACACGTTCCCTCACTACAACATACGCAATTCTCACAAAAATGTATCTAAACACAAACCCGCTTGATCCATGGAAGAAATAAGTTTTCACATGTATAAGATCAATAAGACCCTGGAAGTTTTCTTCTAGACCAATCGGCACTTGCACAGCTGCACTATGATGTCGAAGCTTAGCTCTTGCCTAGTAAGTAAAATAAAGAAGAAGTTATATATAACCAGTAAAGCTAACTCATTCCATAAGTAAATCAAATCATGGAAGAACCATAGTTTTTACACACTTGGTTCAAGACTTTCCATGGATCTGCTCCCATTCTATCAAGCTTATTGATAAACGCAACTCTCGGGACTTCGTATCTCCTCATTTGCCTATCGACAGTAATAGACTGACTCTGCACACCACCAACACTGCATAGTACTAGAATCGCACCGTCTAGTACACGTAAAGCCCTCTCCACTTCAATGGTGAAGTCAACGTGACCAGGAGTATCAATTATATTAACCTAAAATCAATCAAAAACAATGTTTATAACTGAAATTGAATATGATTAGGATGTGATT